GACCTACATGATGTAGTTGGCCCGCTGAAGCACGACATCGAACACCTGACGAAACGCATTGGTCTGCCGGAAGCCAGTTACTCTTCGCAGCCGGCGTCCGCGATAACAACATCTGGAGCATTCGTCGACACCAGCACGCAGAATAAGATATCGGATCTCGAACGGGAAGTTGCATTGCTCCGGAATGATGGTAACCGAGTTTGCAACGCCCCCACCAACACGGACGACTAGAGGAATATCACCGCAGTGATCGGGAACCTCGACGGCTTCGACTCCGTCGCCGCCGCCTCCGATGGGTTAAAAGTGGAGTTGGAAAAGTTGGGAGTTCCAGAGTGGGCCAACCTATACGTGAAGGGCGAGTTTCAGAACATCGTCTTCTGCGAGTTCGATAGCCCAGGTACCAGGGATACAGCTGTCAGGCAGATCCAGACAGCCAGACTTCAGATGAATGGGATCACTATATGGTCTATCCTGATCGCCCACCTCTGGTCCGAGCTGCTCGTAAGCTGTGTTTTGGCCTCAAGTTTTGTGAAGAACGCAATGGGGATGCAGTGCGCTATTCGTGTCTCTGACCACAACCCTTACTCAGTGGAGGTAGGCGGGGAACTCGCACTTACCGTGGTCGTGGACGGGAACACGATCAAGGAGGAGTGGTATAACGATTGGGACAAGTGGGAGGAGTTGCACGCCCACTCCAAGTTTCAAGAAATAGGGAATTCCACAGCGGAGCACTAAAGGGATGAAAGGAGGCGCCAAAGGCAGCTCCAAAGGTTCCAGCGTCACGGCGAAGAAGGAAACCCGGCAAGTGCTGATTCCCGACAGCACCGAAGCCGACAAAGTATTCATAGACGTCCCGGGAAACGTCGCATATACACCGTGGTCTTTCAACATCTCCAGTGGTTTTCTATATGTGGACGACGCGACGGTTGAAGACAACGTATCCCTTCATACGCCTTCTCCGCCTTCTTGTGCACACGATGCCGCTGCAATACCACAGCATTTTTCTGCCGACCAACGGGGTATGGGAAAATATACCAACACCTGAGCTGGTACCGCTACTCTTCTGGGCCAGGGCAAAGCTAACTACCCGATTCTCGCACCGTCCGCTGCTCCAACAACCTCCCGCGAGCACGAGGAGCACAAAGGCGCGGACATCTGCGCAGATCGCTGGCGACAGTCTCAAGATAACAAATACGGGTGTTGCCGGCGCTATTGGAAACCATTGGGCAAACAATGTATTAGCATTTGGAGCGTCGGAGGGTTGGGAGAATCATACGACAAACTGACCGAGATTCAACACCACATGGAAAATAATCTGATTGCCATTCTATGTGTGCAGGAGACACGTGGCATACTCGCATCATGTTGTACAAGATGGATATATGGTGATACTGTCCGGGACGTTAGAGACTACATCTGGGTATCTCTATTCCGGCGTGGGTTCATGATCGCACCAAGTGCGGTTCGTTCAGTGATGAGTTTCAAGCTGCTTGGAGACCGATTGGCGAGTATCAGAATCGAGGTAGCAGGTGACATCTTGCGTGTGCGCCACACGCTGGAAAAGACCGCGAGGCTTGACAACGTGGCGAAGGCGTGGGCCCGGCACGGCAACCACAATTGCACTTTCGCCCCGGGGGACTTCAACAGCAGATTGGGGGAGAGGCTTCCTGGAGAAGAAGATGCAATGGGGGAGTTCGTTGTGAAAGTGAAGCCTAACTTTAACAGGGAGCTTCTGGTCGAAACGTGCCTGGAAACACGATCGGTCATTGCCAACGCGTGCTCTTCCCATCCGCGTGAAAGTTTGGTCACTTATTACGGCCCCGCTCCAGGGTTAGGACCACTTAGCGACGTCGCGAATCCAGCTTTTGCACAATTGGATTGCCGCTTGGTCGATTCAGATGCCTTTTCTATGATTGCGGATATCTGGACCAACAGATGAGCGGCGCTTCCGACACGCCATTTTCTGATGCATATTTGGCTCCAGGTTGAATGTGGGACACAAGAGGCTAAATCAGCACGTCAACGATGTTGTCTGGAGGCTCTGCGGAGGTCGCTGGGTACTGGCCGGGAGTATTCCGACGCGTTCGCAGCTGCTCTTCAACGAGATGCCGAGACGTTGTCTTTGGGCGAACACGCGGAGGCACTAGCAGAGGCAATGCACGCACCAGCCGGAATCGCAGATGCGCCTGAACGTGGCCGGTCAAAAAATTGGATACCCATCGGCACCAAGCAGTTGTTCAAACAAAGTGACAGCGCGCGGCAATCTGGAGACAGAGCGCACGAGCAGCAGCTGAACGCATTGATCAAGAAAGCCGTGCGGCGAGACAAACGAAAATGGTTAGACGCACAATTGCAGGGGGATCGTGGGCAGCTGCGAGAAGCATTAAGAAAGACGCCTGGCCAAACACCTATTGCGATCAAAAACGCAGACGGGGAGCCAGTGGAGAGCGATCCACGAGCAGACGTTTTGGCTGATTATTTTGAGAAGATGCAGTGGGATGCTCACTATGCAGATGTGCACGCGCCAGAAGACGGCCCGCTGGGAACGCCTATGCCCATTGCTACACGTGCCTTCACCATGGGCGAGCCTACTGCTGCTTTGAAGAACCTTGCGATCGGCAAGGCCGCGGGCCACGACGGGATCGCACCAGAGTTCTGGAAATTACTGCGCATGTCGAGCACCGCGTGCAATCATCTGTTGGATATATGCCACAGGTGTTGGGGGTGCAAAAACATGCCAGGAGCGCGGCGGCTTGCAACAGTGGTTCTCTCGTTTAAAAAGGGGGCGCAACTTTGCTTGAGAATTGCCGGCCAATCTTTCTTTTACCTGTGGGATGCAAAGCTGCGGCCCCGATGATCTAACAACGATTGCAACGTGGAGGAGCATAGCAACGACTGCGACCAACGCAATTTGGATTCAGACCGGGGCGCAGCGCAATCGATGCAATCACGATCGCCCGCCGCGTGATCGACGCCGCGGAATTCTCGAAAGAACCTGGGTTGGTGGCTGTTTTACTTGATTGGGCCAAAGCGCTCGACAGGATAAAGCGCGACGCGATGATCAAAGCTCTGGCGCGGTTTAGTATTCCAGAGCCAATGCTCGCACTTATCGCTGCTATATACAAAGCCTGCAACTTCCGTTTGAAGGACACGGCAGGCGACCCCAGTGCCAGGCAGCAGCGTGCAGGAAGAGCCCAAGTGTGCCCACTTTCCCCATGATTATTCGTTATTGTTCAAACAGTGATGTTTTTCGACGTCGGCAAGTTGTTCGATGAGCTGGACATGGGCTTTGTGGGGCCAGAGTGCGCGGCGTGCAATCATGCGTTGTACACGGACGGCGCCGTGCTCGTGAGCGCGAGCTCTCTTAAAACTCAGCTTCTCTTGGACCTGACCATCGAAGTGGGCGAACAATGCGGCCATGATCTGAATTGGAAGAAGACCGTGGTACTGAAAGTAATTATCGACGGTGTGATTCGGGGCCCCGCGTTACAGCCAATCCAGCATGTACAACAAGCAGTTTATTTGGGTGGGCTCTTGCACTACATCTCCGGAAGCAGACCGGAAGTTACGAGGCGGCTCGGCGAAGCACGGGGGATTTTCAGAGCACTGGCCAAATGCTGGAACCATACGGGTATTTCAAAGATGCGAGAAGTATGGCTATTTGACGCTATAGTTGTGCCGAAACTGTTGTACAATCTGGGATCAAGGTGGCTATTGCAAGCAGACCGGCAACGGTAAGACAGTTTCCAAGCATCTGGTCTTCGAAACATATCGGGGATCTCCCATTCTTATTATTCCAGGGTGTCGAATGCCACAGTTCTGACTACAGCGCGGGCGGACCGTCTGAGCGAGGCGCAGCGCGAGAGGCAGGCGCAGTCCCATGAGAAAATCTGTTCTTTGCCAGACAACAACTATTTGAGATCTCTGGTCTGCCAGCCTGGAACAAATGCACCGAAGCAGTGGCATCTGGTCCGGAGACGCGGCCTCCCCAAGCTGAAATGGGCCCACTGTGTGTACAGGCTATTGCAGCGAGGCCTAGAGTCGGCAGTCCATATTCCCCCTCGCCGTCGTCGTCCTCCTCCTTCTCCCTTCCCCTCCTGCCAATCGCGCACTCTTCTGCCCGCGCGCCCTACCAGAAACCCGGCTGAGTGGCGGCAGTGGTGCCCAAGCGCCGTGCCAAGGGCTGGCGCATGGCTTTTGTACTTGTACGAAGCATGTAAAGACATGTTTAAAACATGTTTAGAACATTTTCCTACATTCTAAACACATGTTAAATTCAATGATGGGACTGCTAGGGTGTCCATTGTCGTGGCATCCACAACCATAGGCACGCCCCCTGTTACCCACGTTGAACGTGTGTATTTCCAAGCCCCCAGGCTCCAATCTATTATAGGCGACTTCCTCTTTCAAGAGCCGAGCGGCTTCCTCTTCCCTCTTCTTCAGGGGGGGAGTTCAATCTACTTCCAATGCCTTCCTGATCCCATGCCTCTACCCACTTCCTCCCCGCCGATGGGTAGCTGGACCCCCTCTCGCCGCCCAGAGGCGTACTGGATCGCGGATCGCGATCCGAAGCGCCCACCCCGGGCCCCGGCGCAGGGCGAGGCCCGCCCAGAGAGAGCGGATCGCGATGCGGTCAGGGCCCGCTGACCAAAGACACTGTGAACCAGGACTTGAGCAAAACCGCCAGGAGAGAACTAAGAATGGATAGTGTTTCGTGCCCCGGCTGCAGTTTTCTCGGGCGCGCTTCTGTTGTGGTTCATCAGATTACCTGTTGAGGAACCCTGATGCGATCTTCCCTCGGAACGTGATCGCTCACAGGAGCGGAAAAACAAACACAGGCGCAAACGACAGAGGTTCCATGATAACATGGGAAATGTTGAGCAATGGAGGGGGAGAGGAACATGCACGAAATATGGGGAGAAGCATGGGGAACCCGGGGATTCGTGAATATTTGTAGTTGTGCCCCTGGATCCCTTTGATTTCGCACTCCTCCGCGCCAGGACCTGCGCGGCCGCGCAGAGCAGTGGCTCGATGCCAACCTCAGCTGCGACCAGCCTCTGGAGCTCGACCTCGACTTCGACTGGAGCTGGGCTTAGCTGCCCTCCTCTTCTTCCTCCTCCTCCTCCTTCTCCTCCTCTCTCCTCTCTCGTCTCTCCTCCCTCCTCCCTCCTCCTCCCTCCTCCTCCCTCCTCCTCCTGCTCCTCCTCCTCTTCCCTCGTCGTCGAGTCGTCCTCCTCCTCCTCCTCCTCGTCCTCGTCCTCGTCCTCCTCCTCCTCCTCCTCCTCCTCCTCCCAGGCAGGACCCGCGCAGCCTGCCCCGGCACGCTCGTTTTGAAACGCAGCGCGTACGGTGCTCAGAAAGCGTGAGCATCGACACGCTTGTGCGGGCTTGGCACATGTTGGCCCACGCTCTGGCGAACATCGCGCCAGACCCGCGCTTTCAGTCTGCGTGTTGGGCTCCGTGCAGCACGCCGCGGGCTGCGCGGTGCGTATCGGGGCAGCTGAGGAGCTGGGACAACCTGTCGTGGTGGGAGGGCTTCCAGCAGCTCGGTGGCCAGACCTTCAGGAAAGTGTTTTTAACCCTATTTGGTTCATAACCCGCGTTATGCCCATCCCCCCTCTTCCCTCCCTCCCCCCCACAGAGCAACGCTGCCCCCCCCAAGTGCGTCCCCAGCGCTGCCGCAGTGCGTCGGGCACCACAGTCTGTGGTGCCAGACCCACACGGCGCGGGGGGGGCGGCGTTACGTCATGCCCTTGCCTCAGCCCCCCGCCCCTCCTCCCCCAATCACGCCCGCTATCGACGCCAATGAGAGAGTACTCTCCAGGCGCCTCCAGCGCAGAGACGACGGCGACGAGGACGATGTGGAGGGCATGGACTGGCTGGTTCAGGGCCTCCTTGCCCAGCGGAAGTTGTTGGTGGCGCCGTACAAGGGAGACGCCAAGAAGCTCTTCGAGAACATGATCGCGGAGGTCGTTCTCAGCCTGACAGACTGGAGGCACCTGGACCTTGGCGAGCTCAATCGGCTGAAGGACTGGGACGCGTTCGGGGAGGCCATGGAGGGCTTCCTGGCCTGGGTGCGTGGAGGGGCTGCCATGGCAGTCGAGTGGGCCCTACTCGATGGGTTCATGCTCACGTTCGACTCGGAGAGTGAGATGCTGGACTGGGTAAAAGACCACCCGACCGAGGTGATCGCTGGGCTGGTCTTCGACAGCGTGGATGCCGACGGTAATCTGGTCGGCAGCGGTGTCGACGTGAGGTACAAGGTCCTCAGGAGGGAAAGAAACACACAGACACAACTAATCGTCGACTCCCAGGAAAATATGGGAAAATATGGGAAATGGGGGGGAAGACGAAAACCCAGAAGATATAGGAACATATGGTGAATCCCATTGTTTGTGCCCATTTACCTGTGTGTCCCAGGGCCCCTCCCTTTAGGTCCGCATGGACCAGAACATCCTGCCGGCCACGACGAGGCTGATAACGCGGGTGAGCGGTGCCATGCTCGGACGGCTCTCCAGCGGCACCTCCACCTACGAGACGGTCTTCTTCGTGCACCTGCAGGAGGCCATGGCGCGCGCCGCCTCCCGCCTCGAGGCGCAGCGCAGGGCCCCCGGCGGCGGCGGGGAGGCCCGCCGCGCCTCCGCTGCGGAGGGTCCGGGGGAGTGCGGGGTGGGCTGCAACGCCTTCGCCAACGACGCGACGGAGGCGAGCCGCTCCGTGTCCGTCAGCCTGCAGCACTTCCCGCAGCCCGGCTACGAGGAGGACAACTTCATCTACATCATCCAGTACATGCTGCCCTTCTTCATGGTCATCGGCTGGCTCTACGTGGTCTCGCTGCTGGTGAGCGGCATCGTGTACGAGAAGCAGGAGCGCCTCCGCGAGGTGATGCGCATCCAGGGCCTGAGGACGTGGGTGTACTGGACCGGCTGGTGGGTATCCGCGATGACACAGATGGCTTTGGTCTCTGCGGTCATCATGCTCATGATGAGTGGCGGCGGCGTCTTCAAGTACAGCGATCCATTTCTGATATTCGTGTTCTTCCTGGTGTACTCGGCGTCAACCATCTCGCTCGCCATGCTCATCTCGGCATGCTTCAATCGAGCTATGGTCGCCGCTGTCTGTGCGGGCGTGCTGTACTACACGTTGTATATACCCTACAGCCCCTACAACAGGTTCGAGCCGTTCATGGGGACACCACAGAAGATGGCGTACTGCCTCCTGAGCCCCACCGCTCTCGGCGTCGGCACGGGCATCATCGCCAAGTGGGAGCTGGACGAGAGCGGCCTCACGTGGGGGAACCTCTTCAAGCCCTACCCCATCAGCAACCAGGGGACCTTGCCGCTCGGAGACTTCAGCATGGGACACGTGCTCTTAATGCTAATCGTCGATATCGTCCTGTACCAGCTCCTCGGGTGGTACATCGAGAAGGTCTTCCCGGGGGAGCTCGGCCTCCCACAGCCGTGGTACTTCCTCCTCATGCCCTCCTACTGGAAGAGCAAGGTCGGGCGACGAGATCCATGCCCATCCACCGCCGCTGGCCAGGCCCATCCTGGGCACAGGAGCGGTGTAGATGCCGCCCTGGGCAAACCAGGGGGCGTCTGTACCGCTCCTGGGCTCAGGATGGGCTTGGCCAGCGGCGGTGGATAGATCTCGTCGCGCGACAAGGTGCGCCAGCCGACGGGCGCGGCGGTGGCAGCGGGCCCGGTGGCCGAGCAGAAGGACAACAAGCAGCTCGTGTGCTGGGAGGCTGCCGCCGACGACCTCGTGCCCACCGCCCAGATCCGAAACCTGGCCAAGACATTCGCGGGAGTCTCCCGCTGCGGTGGGATCATCGGCAAGCTGTGCGGCGACGCTCCGCCCAAGCGGGCGCTCAAGGGCATCAGCCTGGACCTTCACAAGGGCACCGTCCTGGGCCTTCTCGGGCACAACGGCGCCGGGAAGTCGACGACCATGTCCATCCTGACCGGCATATATCCCCCCACCGAGGGCGACGTGTACGTGAACGGCCACTCAGTGAGCGCCGACTCCCAGAAGGTGCGCGAGCAGCTGGGCGTCTGCCTGCAGTCGAACGCCCTGTACAACGTCCTCACCTGCGAGGAACACCTGTCGCTCTTCTGCAGCCTGAAAGGCGTGCCCAGGAGCCGCGTGCAGGCCGACGTGACCTCGCTGCTCGAGAGCATCGGGCTCACCGCCAAGAGGTCGGCAACGTCTAACACATGATGAAGTTATCCAGGCGAAGGACCCAACCGTATGATTAGTTGTGAGAAACGCGTTGTGGGTGCCGCTTCCGGTGGCCACACAATGCGTGATGGGGCGTGCGGTAATGGGTGGGGGTGACGTATGCGGGTGGTCCCACTGGGGCCTTCGGTGGAGCTCCTTGTGGGGCCGCGACGCGCTGTAGTAGGTTGTGGAGACGCATGCGGGCGGTGCCATTGGGGCCTTCGGTGGAGCTCCCATATGAGGCCACGAAGCGCTGTACTGGGTGGGGGGGACGCATGCGGGCTGTCCCGCTAGGACCTTCGCTGGAGCTCCCTATGAGGCCACGAAGCGCTGTGCTGGGTGTGGCGGACGCATGCGGGCACCCCCACTGGGGCTTTCGGCGCATGCGGGCACCCCCGCTGGGGCCCTCGGGGGAGATCCCTACACGGCCGCGACGCGCAATACTGGGTGTGGCGGACGCATGCGGGCACCCCCACTGGGGCCTTCGGTGGAGCTCCCATATGGGGCCACGACACGCTGTACTGGGTGTGGCAGACGCATGCGAGCACCCCCACTGGGGCCTTCGGTGGGGTTCCCTATGGGGCCACGAAGCGCTGTACTGGGTGTGGCGGACGCATGCGGGCATCCCCGGTGGGGCCTTCGGTGGAGCTCCCTATGGGGCCGCGAAACGTTGTATTCGGTTGGGGAAACGCAGGGAGGAGGGAGTAGGGGGAGGATTGGGAGGAGGAGGGGGAGGAGGAGGAGAGAGGAGAGAGGAGAGAGGAGGAACGCGGGGACCGTTTTTTTGCAAAACGAGGACCCAACACCACAGGATGGTTGGGAACAAGCTACCAAGCCAGTAATACATATGACGCAACACATCAGCACATGCCACATGATATATAAAAGCAAACACTAACAAAACAGGTCGGCGATGTCCAAGGCCCTGAGCGGCGGCATGAAGCGTCGCCTCTCGATCGGCATCGCGCTCTCGGGGGGCTCCTCGATCGTGGCGCTGGACGAGCCGACGGCGGGTGTGGACGCGGGCTCCCGCCGCGACATATGGCACATTCTTGCTGGCCAGAAGGCCTCTCGCGCCATCCTGCTCTCGACCCACTTCATGGACGAGGCGGACGTGCTTTCCGACCGCATCGCCATCATCGCCGAGGGCGAGTTGGTGGCGATCGGCAGCAGCATGGCCCTGAAGCGCCACTTCGCCGACAGCTACTTGCTGACTGTTGTTGCGTCCGACAGCGCCGACCCCGCTCTGCTGCTGGCCGCGGTGCGGGAGTCCGTGCCGCAGGCCGAGGCGGCTGGCAGCCGCGGCCGCGAGCACAGCTTCGTGCTGCCCAACTCGGCGCGGCCGCTCTTCGCCACGCTCTTCGCCTCGCTGCAGGACGCGGACAGGCGCAAGCGGCTCGGGGTGGACACCTACGGCCTCAGCGCCGCGACCATGGAGGAGGTCTTCCTCCAGGCCTCTTCCACGCGTGAGGAGGGCCTGCGCGGCCGTGTCCGCAACGCGGGCCAGGCGATCGAGGCTCCGCCACAGAAGTCGCCCGCGGGCTCTGACAGCGGCTCCGACGCCGGGACGAAGACGCCCTCCAGCAGCAGCGGCAAGGGCGCTGGTAGCAGCGAGGACCATGCCGAGTCTGGCAGCAACTCTGGGCAGTCCGGCGATTCCCCTCAGTCGAAGTGCCGCATGGCCTCAGTGGCCGACGGGAAGGAGGCCAGCCCCAGCAGCGTGCACGAGACGTTCCCGGGCGCCGGCGGGAAGGACCCGGTGTTCTCGCCGTCGTGCATGGTGACCTCCCCGCCGCCCGAGCAGGCGCCGCAGCTCGGTGACGGGTCCGCCCAGCCGGCAAAGGTGCCAGCTGGCCTGGCGAAGCAGGCCGAGCAGGCGTCGTTCGAAACGGTCGGCGGCCCCGTCCTGTCGCAGCAGCAGTTCAGGGCCCGCCTGTGGATGCGGCTCGTGAGCATCAAGCGTGACCGGAAGGCGTGGGCCTCGCAGCTGGTGATGCCCGCGTCCTTGATCTTCGTTGCGATGATCGCGGCGACAGTCATCTTGGCGTCGCAGGAGCAGCCGGCGCTGAAGCTGAGCACCGAGGTCTTCACCGAGGTCTCGTGGACGGGCAAGCACGACCTGCTCATATTCGACGATCCGGCCGACGCGAACGGGCAGCAGATGGCCCAGTTACTGGAGCAGTCCACAGCGGCCTCGGAGTCCGCTGTCATGCTGGACACCCAGCGGTACCAGCAGGGCATGGGGCAGTATCTGATGGATCACGCGTACGACCTTACCACGAGCTTCGGCGCGGTGTCGGTGGACGACACCAGCGGCACGACGGGGGTCGCGAGCAGCGAGCTGAACCTTTGGTTCAAGAGCCAGCACGCGCATGCTGTCCCCGCCCTCATGAACCTCGCCAGCCAGGCCCGCTTCCGGATGATGGGCCAGGAGCAGGAGGTGTCGTCGCAGGTCTACAGCCACCCGCTGCCACAGTACTCCGTGGACCTCGAGGAAGAGCAGAACGGCGGCGGCCAGGCCATGCTGACGCTGCTTGTCGCGCTGACTGTGATCGTCGCCATGGGTTTCATTCCGGCGAGCTTCGTCGTGAATTTGGTGCACGAGAGAATCACCGATTCGAAGCACCAGCAGCTGCTCGCAGGCCTGTCCCAGAAGATGTACTGGATGTCGCACTACGCGTCCGACATGCTCAACTTCATGATACCGGTGGTCTTCTGCTGGCTGCAGTTCGTCTTCTTCCAGATCGAAGCCTACAGCGGGGAAAACTCATTCGCGGTGCTGATGGTGCTGACCGCCTACGGCGTCTGCATGTCGCCTTTCATGTACTGCTGGGAGGGGTTATTCCAGGTGCCCTCCATGGCATACGTCTCCATGATCTGCATCAACATTTTTCTCGGAACCACAACCACTCTCGCAACCTCCACGATGGACATCCTCGAGAACGAGTTGCCCGAGGTTAAGCCGTGGAATGCTGCCTGCAAGCAGTTGTTCCCAGTTTTCGTCCCCTCCTACAATCTCGGCCGTGGCCTCATCGAGATCGCCACGAACCATTTCACCAAGAAGTTTGCCGCCGACTACGAGCTGTGCCAGCTGGACAGCCTGAGGTGCGGCAAGTCGCCCCTTGACTGGGACGTGGGAGGAGAGTACCTCTTCTGGCTGCTGATCATGGCGCCCGCGTGGTTCATGCTGCGGCTGTTCCTGGAGTGGCGGGTGTTCCAAAGGCGGGGCCTCAAGTCCTCGCCCGCCCAGCGCGACGCCAGCGACGAGGCCGTGCAGGAGGAGGCCGCCCGCGTGGCGGAGGGCAGGAGCTCGCCGCACGCCGGCGGCAAGGACGCCCTGGTGATCTGGAACCTGTCGAAGACCTTCCGGACCGGGCGCGGCTGCTGCCGGAAGGCCGCCGAGGTTCGGGGCTGGACAGAACCCCCAACAGTGACACGTCGATTAGCGAATTGTCCGTTTTCGGTTCTCGAGAGGGCGCCAGGGCCGTCATTTTCCAGGCTTGCGCCCGCCAGGTTTGGGCCTCAGGTCGTTTTCACTAAACCACGTTTTGCTAAAGGGGGGTCTGTCCATCCCCGAGAGGTGCGGTCCGTCCGCGGCATCAGCGTCGGCGTGGCGCCCGGCGAGTGCTTCGGGCTGCTGGGCGTGAACGGTGCGGGGAAGACGACCACGATGAGGATGATCACCGGGGACACCGAGATCGGGGGCGGCGACGTGACCCTGGGCGGCTGGAGCATCAGGAACAGGCGCGACAAGGCCCGCAAGCATCTCGGCTACTGCCCGCAGTTCGACGCCCTGCCCGACAAGCTGACCACGCGCCAGACGCTGGTCTTCTACGCCCTGCTCCGCGGCGTCGCCCCGAGCAAGGTGGGCCAGGTGGTCGACAGCATGATCGGCCGAATGTGCCTGGAGGCCCACGAGCACCGCCTGACCCAGCACCTGAGCGGCGGCAACAAGCGGAAGCTCTCCACGGCTCTCGCCCTCATCGGCGAGCCCGACGTGGTGCTCCTGGACGAGCCCTCCACGGGCATCGACGTGGGCGCGCGCCGCTTCCTCTGGGACTTCCTGGGCGAGATCCGCCAGCGCGGCCACGCCCTGGTGCTCACGAGCCACTCCATGGACGAGTGCGAGGTCCTCTGCACCCGGCTCACGGTCATGGTGCACGGAGAGTTCCGGTGCTTGGGCAGCCCGACGCAGCTCAAGGACAAGTACGGAGGCGGCTACACGCTCACGATCAAGGCTCAGAGGAGGAAGCGATACCGCTGCCAGTGCTCTTCCTCACCACCCACCAAACCACCCCAACCCAACCCGAAGGGTCAGATTTACCCTCGATTTCTAGTGGGGGGGGGGTCCGGGAACATCGAAAAAGCACGTGTGGAGCCCTTACCCCCCCCAACCCGAAATTCGGGTCTTCGGGTTGGGTTGGGGTGGTCTGGTAGGTAGTCAGAGGAGGAAGCGGTACCGCTGCCAGTGCTCTTCCGTCGTCGCCACGGCTGGACTCTCCTCGACCTTCTGGTCGGAGCGCACCCCTGGAGAGGTCCAGGGAGCAGCGGTATCCGTACATATTGGTACCTTGTTGTCCCGCCAAAGGCCGTGCCGAAGCAGCAGCACGAGCCGGAGGATTCCAACAGCATCGCCTCGCCGCAGGGCCTCCCTGTGGACGTCATCCGGAACTTCATCACGTCGGAGGTCCCCGAGGCGGTGCTGGCGGAGGAGACCGGGAGCCTTGAGACGAGGTCAATGCAAACGGGGGCCAGCCAGAGCGCCGGATCTTGCAGGATCCTGCAAAGCCTGACTGCCCCGGGTTTGCATTGACCCGGGTCTGTGCGTCCCCGAGGAGAATGTGGGCCTCTTCCGCTACCGCCTCGGGGGCGGCGAGCTGACCGGCCTGTCCCAGCGGGCCGTCTCGCTGTCGGACCTCTTCGCCAAGCTCGAGGGCGCCATGCAGGACCCAGCCGCGCTCAAGGGCATCATCTCGGACTACACGATCTCGCAGACCTCGCTCGAGGAGGTCTTCCTCCACTTCTCCAAGGAGGTCGAGCAATCCGTGTTCGCCAATGCTCTGGGCGACGAGGAGACGGCATCGAAGACGTCAGCAAGTCGGGGGACACAGTCCGTGTGAGCAGTACGACCGTTGGCGCGTCAGACACCGTCGAGAGTTTTTCGGCATGCTCCGTGCCATGTCCGGCTGGACGCGCCCCAAGTCTGCAGCTTTTGCCACGCGGCTAGTGCTCCATTCGGCGGCGCGCCCAGTGGGGCAGGGAGAGGGACCGGGACTTCTCGGAAGGCTCAGGAGGAGGCCCCCGGCATGGCCTCCCGAGAAGTTTTCGGGGCTTCCTTCGAAACTCTGCAGAGGGAGCTCCTCAGAAGGCCGGGGGGACTTCTAAGAGGCCCCGCCGCCCTCTGAGAAGGCCCGCCCCCCTCCCTTCTCGCCCCCCCCCCCCCTTCGGCGCGCCGCCAGTCCAGTGCAGCGCCAGTCAGCATGCCCACTCCTAGCTGGTGGCCCGACCAGACGAGCCAGCCGCAGCAAGCCGGTTGGCCTCCGGGCGCGCCTGCGCGCTGGCCCGGAGGGCGGTTGCCGGGGGCGCCCCGCGGCTTCTCACCACCCACCAAACCACCCCAACCCGACCCGAAGGCTCAGATTTACCCTCGATTTCCAGTGTGGGGGGGGGGTCGGGAAACATAGAAAAAACACGTGTGGAACCCTTACCCCCCCCAACCCGAAGTTCGGGTCTTCGGGTTGGGTTGGGGTGGTCTGGTAGGCAGTCAGCTTCGCTTGGCACGACAGTCGGAGGGCGGGAGTTCTCCGCGCCGCGCGCCGTGCTCGCCCTCCGGGGAGTCCCCCGAGGCCCGAGCATGTCTTTTTCGCTGGCGTGTTTCCCGCCCAGGCGCGCGCTGTCGCGCGATCGCGTGATTGTACACAGACCCTCCCGCGACGCCTGCGGCGAGCCACCGCCACCCCCCGACTTTTTTTTTGGAACCGCCCACGTGGCCAAATGTTTGTCAACATTCAGGAGGGAAAAAACACACAGACACAATTAATCCTCGATTCCCCGGAAAATATGGGAAAATATGGGAAGTGGTGGGGAAGACAGAAACCCAGAAAATATGGGGAAATATGGGGACTATTTTTATCTGTGTGTATTTATTTGTGTGTCCTAATTTCCCTTTCTAAACATTTGTCCAGGTCCTTGGGCTGCCGCACGGGCTCCGCCAGCCGTTGTGGAACCCCCCCTGGGGGAGCTCTTCGAGGAGAACGAGAAAGCAGGAGGAGCAGGAGGAGCAGGAGGAGGAGGACTACGACGAGGAGGAAGAGGAGGAAGAGCAGGAGGAGGAGGACTACGACGAGGAGGAAGAGGAGGAAGAGGAGGAGGAGGAGGAGGAGGAGGAGGAGGAGGAGGAGGAGGACTACGACGAGGAGGAAGAGGAGGAGGAGGAGGAGGAGGAGGAGGAGGAGGACAAGTGTAAACCCAAGAGTCGCCAACGATGTTAGAGTAAACCCTCCCTCCAGGCTCCTTTCTCATAGGCCCCTTCAACGGTTCACTTCCGCTGAGGGAACTGCCTCGTTGGAAGACAACCGTTTGAAGACCCTGAAGCATGCCAAACATTGTTTTCGGGATTCCAACGCCACGGATCAACCTGACTGTTGCGTCTTGACGATCCAGAATCGTGCCAGAACGCCATTCCTGGGATTCCAACACCGCGAACCAACGTAATTGTTGCACCCTCCAATTCCAGAATCCTTCCAGAACGCCATGTCTAGAAGGCTGATCATGGGAATCCGAGAGAATTTATTCAACAGTAATACTATGAAGAGCAATAATATTAATGATAACGAATGTGCGCGGTGCTCATGGGAGAGCCACATTTTGAAAAGGGACCGCCCTCAATCCGTGAGAATCTTCAACATTTAAAAAACGCATGTGCGCGTCGCTAACTAAGGCGAGAGCCACATTTTGAAAACCACTCGTCTTCAATCCGTGAGACTCTTGTAATTTACAAACTGGCTCTAAGGCGAGAGCGACATTTTGAAAACGACCCGCCCTCCATGTGCGAAACTGCTGTCAATGTTTAAGCTTCAGGGTCATAAGTGGTGAGGAAGTCTCAGGCGCAACGCCCAGACCGCCCTAAAAACTGGCCTCGGGGTGCGACAGGGAGAAGTTAACTATTCGTAAGGCAAAAGGAATGGAGGACGAGAAGGGAAAGGAGGCCTCTTGAGGCCGTCTGGTAGCTTCGTGGGGGCTCCCTGGGAGCCTTGCAGACGGGCTTCCGAGGGGCCTCCTGCGCGCCTTCTGAGGGCCCCTGGCTGCCTCGGAAGGACCTCTTTGCCTTCGGAGGCCACGCTGGGGGCACATTTGGGCAGCTGCCGGTCCTTCTCTGGGCGCCTCGGGGCCGTCTTGGAGGCATGTGGGGCTGTCTTGGGGCCGTCTTGCTGTCTTGGGGGCCTCCCGGGTTGTCTCGGGACCCTCCTCGGCCGTCTTTGCGGCTTCTCGGGGGCCTCTTGGGCCGTCTTGGGGCGATCTTTGGGGCCTATGGGGACGCCTCGGGGCGATCTTTTGGGCTGTTTTGACCGTCTTGGAGCGTCGGAGGCCCGAAAAGGCGATAACTCTAAATTCATTGAAAACCTTGGGGGCATCAGCGATTGAGCATCAATGGCTTTTGCCTTTGGAGGTCCTCTTGGAGCCCGCTTCGGGCGTCTCGTTGGCTCCTTGGGGCGCCTGGAGGGCATCCTGGGCCGTCTTGGGGCCATCTAGGCCGTCATGGAGGCGTCTTGGCACCGTCTTGGAGGCCGTCTTGGACCGTCTTGTGCCAACTTGATGGCCATCTTGGCCGTCGTGGAGGCCATTTTGGGGTCATCTTTTCTGGTGCCTTTTGTGTCTTCCGTGGGGCTGGCTGGCTCCATTGGCCGAAGGCCACTTGGAACCTTTTACAACAGTTTGTAATCAGTACTTGATCCAGCACGACAAGCACCACTGTGAACGCACATGGGGCGGCGGATCGAAGTCGCCTATGGCGAGCCGCAGCCACTCCCTGCGTTTTGGAAACGCCCATGCGGCTAAACATTGGGCAAGGTTTCGCCAAGCTATTGGACTATGTCTTCCCCCAGCCGTTGTAGAATCTTAGTATAATCCCTTAGAACAACACTTGGGAGAGGAAGAGAATGGAAGAGGGGGAGGAGTGGGAGGAGGAGGAAAAGGAGGAGGAGGAGGAGGAGGAGGAGGAGGAGGAGGAGGAGGAGGAGGAGGGGGAGGAGAGATAGGAGAAGGAGGAGGAAGAGGAGGAGGAGGATGAGGAGGAGGAGGACCAACGTAAATCCAACATTCACCAGGGATATTGCAAACAACCCTCCATCCAAGATCCCTCATCACAGGCCCCTGCAAGGAGGATTCATTCTCACTGAAGGAAGAGTCCCGTTGGAAGACAACGGTTTGAAGATCCTCAGCGGTGCCGGAAAGCCATTCCTGGGATCTCAACGCCGCGAATCATTGTTATTGTTATGTCTCGGCGATCCTGAATCGTGTCAGAAAGCAGTTCTTTGGACTTCAACACCACGAATCACTCTAACCAGTGCACCCTGACAATCTGACATCGTACCCAGACACAATTTCTGTGACGTTAGCCATGATAATCCTTGTAACTCTTTTAGCATCTTAGAAATAATGTGCGCGGCGCTAAAGGGCGCGAGCCACATTTTGAAAATGAGCCGCCCTCTATCAGCGAACCTCTTGCAATTAACATTCGCCGCTCTGCGGTTGATCGGGAGTTTCTGTATATATATAGAAGAAGGGGCGCGCGCTTCTGGGCGAGAGGGAAACGACCGAGAGAAGACGTGTTATGCCGTCAGGTCTTCCGTCCGGAAACGGTGCCGGCGCTCTGGGCTCCTCTGGGCATCCCCCCCGGGGCCCGTTTTGTGAGGATGTCTCAGGCGAGGGCGCCGGTTTGGGATTCGTCGGCGGATCCACCGGATCCAGCGGATCCGTCCGGAAACGGTGCCGGAGGCCGCTCTGGGCTCCTCTGGGCATCTCCCCCGGGGCCCGTTTTGTGAGGATGTCTCAGGCGAGGGCGCCGGTTTGGGATTCGTCGGCGGATCCACCGGATCCAGCGGATCTGTCCGGAAACGGTGCCGGAGGCCGCTCCCCAGAGGTCCACAGGGACTATTTTATAGTTCTGCGCAACAGAGCTAAAAAATAGTCCCGTACAAAAAAAATAGTCCCGTACTAAAAAATAGTCCCGTGCTCTGAACATAGCCTCATATAATGAAAAACAACAATGAATACCATATAAATAGTTTATAGGCATTTATGTGTATATATATAGATATTAGAAAAAGTGTGTGAGAGCGCGCGTATGTGTGTGTGTGTGTGTGTGTGTGTGTGTGTGAGCGCATTTGTTCGCAGGTTGATTGAAGAAAGTCGATCATGTAGGCAGGTTTCAACTGAGACGTCTCGCAATTCGAAGCCGCCAGGCAAACTATTGTTGTCGTCGTGATCATCGCAGGAAGTGTTATAACACTTCCTGCGATGATCACGACGAAGGCAACACATGATGCGCAGGTGGAGGAATCGTCGCCCGAGCGTTTCGGCTCAATGATGCAGAAGAGGAAAAAAGGGAGGGTCCGCGCGCCAGGGCTCGACGATGTAGATTCGCTGGCAGATGTGCTGAACGCTTTCGCCGCGGACGTTCGAGATCCGAACGAGCGGGGCGCTCGGCTGCAGATGGAGGAGGAGGAACAGGGAGAGGGGCAGGGGGGGGGCAGCAGGAGGAGGAACTAGCTGAGAGAAGGAGGAGCAGAAGGGACAGGAAGAGGAGGAGGAGGAGGCGGAGGAGGAGGAGGAGGAGGAGGAGGGGGAGGAGGAGGAGGAGGAGGAGGAGGAGGAGGAGGGTAGGTGCCAGGGCGGCGAGGAAGAACCATAGGACGCCCGCGATGGCAAGCAAAAGGAGAGGCGCGGGCGGGTGGGCCACGCGCGGGAGAGGGTGAGGGCTGAGGATTGACGAGGCAATGGATCAGAGGAAGCATAGGATGGAGGATGAGGAGGATCAGACGGTGGAGGGCAGAGGGTGGCGCCCAGGTGGATCGAATACGACGAACACATGGATTCCGCTGTGGACGACGATCAGATCATTAATCATCAGCCAGCTGCTGCGCCTACAGCCTCGAGGAGGGGTCCCGCAGAAGGTCGCGAAGGCTCGCGCCCCCTGCTCTCCATCCTGCCGTCCCCGCCCTTCTCCCACCTGCGTCCTTCTCCCGCCTCCTCCGAAAAATAAGGGGTCATCCTCTCTTCCCGCCAGCCACCTTTCTCTCCCCACCGTTCCTCGCCGTCGTCTGAATGCCTTACTTCGTCCTCGCTCTCGTCTCGAGACCTCGTTCTTGCCGTCGTCGTCCTACCCATCGACCTCTTTTCACTCGGTTAGTCGTGGGATTCGAATTCTAATATAATCTAACTTTCCGCATGTCGTCATCACCATCCTCACTCTTCTCCCTGGTCTCCTCTGCGTGATCTCCCTCCTCATCCTCACTCTTCTCCCCGACCTCCTTCTGCTAGACTTCCTTCTCGTTTCCGAACGTTTTCGTTAGCTTGAGGCTGGATTCCTCAAGATAGCTGTCGACCGCGAGAGCACGTGGAAGCTCGCGTCGGAGCGCGAGAATTGGGCAGAACATATATCGAATAGCCTGAGGAGCATGCTGCGCGGTGTCTCCAAGTGCGTTTCCAGGACTTTATTGCTTTTTCGGGGGAGGGGCAGTCGCGAAATTCCAACCCACCATCCCCCCCTCTCTCCTCGTCCTCCCTTGAGCCACGTTCCTCCTCCTCCTCTCCCTCTTCCTCCTTGTCCTCCTTGTCCTCCTCCTCCTCCTCCTCCTCCTCCTCCTCCTCCCCCTCCTCCTCTTCCTTTGCCTCCCCCTCCTCCTCTTCCTCCTCCTCCTCCTTCTCCTTCTCCTCCGTTGCCAAAGGCGCAT